GTGAGCATGAACAGAGTCCGGATGACCGGATAATTAACCAATCAAAAGTCTGGACATGAATGTGCATGGACATGAACGCTTCCGACACCAGGGCCGAAGGGTATACTACCAAGAGCAGCCTACGGTACAATACAACGGTGTGCTTGAATTTGCCAACATATACGAAGATGGTTGAATTGACCCAAGTTGAGGAATCGGAAGCTTTTATATATGCACTCTAAATTTTCTAAATGTCAAATATCACAGTCAAAATGGAAACAAAATGGCGCGGGGAATTGGCCAATTGGCAACGTCGTGGTGAGAATCGTGACAAAATTGCTCAATTGCGCATCATGCCAAGAGGTCCCAAGCTCACTGGCATCGAAATGGACCAAATTTTGGCCTGGAAGCACGAGAAGATTTCCATTCGTGAGATTGAACGTCGACACAAACCACCAGAGAAATTAGTGCGTTCATACCTGATAGTCCCCCGACTCGAACTGCACGAATAAGTGGTCAGGAAGGCGCCTGAATTTGTCGAAGCGTGACTTATGTCGCATTTACCGCAACATAATCGTCTTGAAATCAGCGCAAAGCGCTAAGACAGTATCGGTGCGGTTGACTGTCCGCACTGTGCTCACGTGCTGAAATCGAGCAAGTTCATCATATACGCAAAAATGAAGCCAGTGCCGTACCTAAAGCCGCATCACACGAAGACTCGTTATGCATAAGCTGCATAGTGTATGGCGAAGATAATTTTTGGCGCCAAATTGTCTTCTCGGGCAAAAATGAAGTTCATCTTGGACGGACCGCATGGATACCACATGTACTGGCGTGGCGTCCATGGAGTCGAAAAGGTGTTCTCGAAGCGAAACAGCATTATGGCATGGTGCGCTATGAGCCTGTGCGGGAATTCAGATATCGCATTTCTCGAAGGACGGCAAAGCTTGGAGATGTATTGCAAGACGCTAGAGACGTATCTATTCCTGTTTTTGGGCGATGTGCAAAAGTGTCTCGAAAACCAGATTGCTGCGTTCCAACAAGACTATGCACCTATCCACGCTTCCAATGAGACGAAGAAGTTTCTTGAAGACTCGGGCGTCTTTTCCATGGACTGGCCTAGCTAGAGCCCCAAATTCAACGTTATTGCGAACGTTTGGGGTATTTTAGCCCTCTATATTTACAGAGAGACTGGGCGATAATTCGACAATTTGTCTGAGGTGAAGCGGCAAATTGCTTAGCCGTAGAGAATGCTAGGTATTGACTACTTTAAGTCGCATGTCGATAGCATAGCTACGTGTTTGGCTCAAGTTGTTTTGAAAATGGCAGTATTATCGACTTCAGCGCAGCGCGCATGTAAATATTCCCCGACATATATTCCGGAATTTTTAGTTTCATTGACTTAATTTATATTTGTAGTTACACCACACTGCAAACCCTCTTTAGGACGTAAGCATGGTCAGATCAAAGCAATTATCAGCACTTCTCGGCAAAATTGATATGCCCAAATCCTTTTTTAATTTACGTTTAACATGACATATTTAGGGCTCGTCTGGAAGCCAAAAAATAACACGATATATCTCAAGATTATGAGAAGCATAGTGATATGTCGAATATCGATATAATCCTGCGTTTGGAAGCCAATTGTGGGACAAAAAACAT